TACTAATCGATAATTTATAACGCTCATTTTCTAATAGGCTTGAACAAGACACATAATATTATGGTTGTACGCTCAGCTTGAATAATACTAATCGATAATTTATAACGCTCATTTTCTAATAGGCTTGAACAAGACACATAATATTATGGTTGTACGCTCAGCTTGAATAATACTAATCGATAATTTATAACGCTCATTTTCTAATAGGCTTGAACAAGATACATAATATTATGGTTGTACGCTCAGCTTGAATAATCCTAATCGATAAATTATAACGCTCATTTTCTAATAGGCTTGAACAAGACACATAATATTATGGTTGTACGCTCAGCTTGAATAATACTAATCGATAAATTATAACACTCACTGTCTGATAGGCTTGAACAAGACACATAATATTATGGTTGTGCACTCAGCTTGAATAATACTAATCGATAATTTATAACGCTCACTGTCTGATAGGCTTGAACAAGACACATAATATTATGGTTGTACGCTCTGCTTGAATAATACTAATCGATAATTTATAGCGCTCATTTTCTAATAGGCTTGAACAAGACACATAATATTATGGTTGTACGCTCTGCTTGAATAATACTAATCGATACTTTATAGCGCTCATTTTCTAATAGGCTTGAACAAGACACATAATATTATGGTTGTACGCTCAGCTTGAATAATCCTAATCGATAAATTATAACGCTCATTTTCTAATAGGTTTGAACAAGACACTTAATATTATGGTTGTACGCTCAGCTTGGATAATCATAATTGATAAATTATAACGCTCATTTTCTAATAGGCTTGAACAAGACACATAATATTATGGTTGTACGCTCAGCTTGAATAATCCTAATCGATAAATTATAACGCTCATTTTCTGATAGGCTTGAACAAGACACATAATATTATGGTTGTGCACTCAGCTTGAATAATACTAATCGATAATTTATAGCGCTCATTTTCTAATAGGCTTCAACAAGACACATAATATTATGGTTGTACGCTCAGCTTGAATAATCCTAATCGATAAATTATAACGCT